TATTATAATTTTTATACATTTTACTGTTTTTAAAGAATTTATCTAGTATTTAATATTGAATCAAAAATCAAATTTGATCTATTTTTTGTTTAGTTTATAATACACACATTTCTAATATAATTCCACTCAAAAGATTATTTTTATGCGAGCAACACGCGTTACTCCAGTTAAAATATAAAGTGTGTGATATGCAATACTCGAGTCTCTGTGGCAAATACTTCAAAAAGTACTTTACATAAAGCATACGTCATGTTGAAAGGAAGTTAGAGGGTAAGAGAAAGAGATAGAGGGAGAAAGGGAGGGGAGAGGAAAAGCGAAAGCGAGAGACAGGAAAGAGACAAGACGAAGAACTGCATGCAGTTCGTAGTTAATCAAATTCCCAGCAAAGACAAACAATGAAATAAATGTCTTAAGACAAAAGACAAAAAAAAAAAAAACAAAAAAAGACAAGAAAAAAGAAAGATAAACATACAGAGTGCCTGATGGAATGCCAAGCTCTACTTGCTCTCGCACAGCTCCCTATGCACAGAACATACAACGAACCTGACACGATTCTCTAGCAAACGGAATTCGAGGGGGAAATATGCTATTATTTGTTGCTTGTGTTGTTGTCTTGGGTATGCTGATATATTAAATGTACTGTTTCCACTTCGACTGTGAGCAGGTTACATCAAATCAACACAAACACAAATTCAATTACTCAACAACAGCAGCAACGAGCTACAGCAGCTGGCACACACGGGGCGTATGAGTGACATTAATGCGATTTTGCCAAATGTCAATCATTTTTGTTTAGCCAACGCCAATGGGAAAAGAAAAATAATAATATGCTAGTGCATTATTTTTTATTCGTGTTGGGTAAGTGGGTCGCCTTTTGATGTCGGCTCTGGCACAATTTACAATTAAATCGATTACGTTTAAATCTACAAATAAATGCAGACAACAGGCCTATGAAGTTGGAGCTGTTTAGTTAGAGGTGGGTTTGTGAAACGTTAACGCCTATTAGATAAAAGTTTGTGTTTTTAATGTGACCTATTTATATCAGCTTTGATCAAAGCGTCGTTTGGTTATATTTTTAATTTTTTAATTTTTCGTTTAAATTAAGTAAATTAATTAAACTAAATTATTATATGCATACAAGTCAAGTCGGTTGTTAAAAATATTTTATTGAATAGATTTTCTTTTTTCAATTCAATCTGCATTCGAACCATTCATCAATTTATTGCCACTCCAAATAGGCGAAATAGCGGTGAAATTGCTTTGAGCTTTGCACATAAATTCATTACCTTTGGCCGATGCGTGAGCTAATAAATAAATAAAACGTTGGCACACTCATTAAGGCCACAGCCAGCAAAAAAGAAAATGGAAAATAGTAAAAGAAAAAACAAGGGCCGAATCGAGCGCAATAATGTGTGTTTGTTTGTGTGTGTGTGTGGGTGTAGAGTGGCTGTCGGCAGATTAAAAATACAATTTACGGCAAATCAATTGCGGCTAACATGCCGGCGACAGCAAACGAAAATTAAAACGGCCAAGAGAGAGAGAGAGAGAGAGAGAGAGAGAGTGTAGAGTAGAAACAGCAGCAGTCGAAGCAAAAAATTAAAAGCAAACAAAGTTGCTAACAAGAACCAAAAAAAAAAAACAAAAAACAAAACAGAATCCCAAAAGGCCAAAACCACGCCGCCTCCCATTCAAAAAAGAAAAAAAAAAAAGAACAAGAAACGAAAGACTGTGAAATGTGAGAGGCCAGGATAACAACAACAGATGTTGGCATAAATTTGTGTGCATAATAAACAATTTACGATTCCGATACTGATTCCGTATGCGACTGTAACTTCGACTCCAACTACGACCCCAACTCCGACTCTGACTCCAATTCCAAGTGCGACAGCAACTCTGTTTCTGATTCCGATTCCGATTCCAAATGCGACGGTGACTCCAACTTCGACTCCAACTCCAGCTCCAGCTCCGACTACGACTGCGACTGCGACAGTGACTGCGTTGATTGCGTTTCCATTTTGCATATGCATCGTAATAATAATATCTACAGCTGGGGCTCGTCATGGCGCGCTGTTGTGCGCTCGATTGGCAGGCGAAATAACCGCATGGCACGCAGTCGATCCTCGCGCTTCAATTGAAGGAGGCCCGCCCTGCCGCGCACATAGTTGGACAGCTCGCGGGCGAACGCCAGCAGGTAATCATCGGCTTCGGGGCGTGGCAGCTGCCATAATAGCTGAACCACAAATTCGCGCCATTGCGCGGGCGCCAATGTAAATAGGAGCAGGGCCGATGGCAACAGCGTCAGCATGCCGAGCGTGAAATGGCCACACCAGCGGCAATTCGGACAGATCAGATGGGAGAGCTGATGGACGAGTCGCTCGTAGCTGCACCAGCCAATCAATATGGCCAGCTCTGAGATGAATACGGTGCCCAGCAGCTCCACACAGATGTGGATGCGCGGATAGTGGTTCGTATAGCGCTTGGGCAGCATTTCGCATCTCCACAGCAGCAGCAGCAGGCTCAGGCCGAACAGGCACTTGGCCACCGAGGATTGGGGGGCTGGCTGGCATTGCTCCTGCGACTGGCGTATGAACAGCGATATGCCACACATCTGCAGCAGCGTCGCTGCCACAATTGAGGGCGGTGAGACCATATCCGTGGAATCTATTGTAAAATTTGTTTATATTCTCACGTCACGTGTTGCGCTCATACAATTTTGATAGTTTTCTAAAAAATACATTTCGATCCGTACGATTTGGCAGCAAGCTGCTCAACAAATCCAGAGCCTGCTCCGCCTCCTGCTCTTTGCTTGAAGTGCAAATGGAAAAGAAATTAAATGCAAAAAAGAAATGTTGATGGAAATCGTATGAAATTTGTGTTACTTTTGGCCATTACTATTGCGGCAAATCTAATCAGGTGTTCAACTACATACACACAGACATTTACACTCAGACACTCTCCATTGCCCGCCCTTTCAGCTTTCACATTGCTTCAACGCCTTTGTAGTTGCTGCTCACATTTTAGATAGATATGTATATGTATGTGCATATATTTTTAGAACTCAGTTTCATGCCTCACTGAATAACACACACTTACTCACACACACGCACACTCTCTGGCCACATTTTGACTTTTATGGCGTTCTGCTTGGCTTTTAAACACGTCGTAAGGCTTCTGCAGCACACCAATTGCCTGGCCTTAACATTTATAGCCTACTTTTGAGGGCGGTCAACATATGTGAATAGTTTGCTCGCTGTGTGGCCTGCAGGGCATATGGCATTTGGCACAGCGTATGTGACTGTCTGAAATATAATATGAAATGAATTGAGAGAGAGGAGAGGGAGAGGGAGAGAAGAAGAGAACGACTGAATTATGTCTTATATTATGAGCTAATAATTATTGAAGAGATTTAAATTAAAACTAGACTATCTACAAATGAATTAGCAACAAAAGCTGCAATAAAAATAAAATAAAAATAATAAT